TGGAGTTTCCTCCAGAGTTTAATAGTTTCTAACTTTTCTGGGTCATCTCAGAAAACAGAACACATGGGAAATGGAATTGAGTTATACTTTTCATCCTCAACGCTAATAACTTGGAATGAGATTTGCATTTTAGGGTAAAAGAACTGTCTTAGCCATACAATTGCTCTCTCACAGTGTTTGCAGCAAGTGAAAGATTTTCTTAGCATTTCAACTGCAAGTTAGAAAAGGTCAAGATGATTGAAGTATTATTTAAATTCAGAATTGATTTAAAACAATAAATGGCTGTCTTTATTCAGAAGTCAGGTAATTTACAAAGGGAAATCTCATGAGGCAACATGGAAAAACCATCCATCTGGGAGTTAGAGAGCCTGGGCTTTCCTACAGCCCTGGCCCTTACTTTATAGCAGGGGGACCTTGCGCAGTCTACGTGCCTTCTTTGGGCAGTAGCACTGCATCTGTGAAATGAGCTCATGAAATTACGACAAAGTTCAAGTCTAGTCTCTTCCAGTATTGATAATTCACTCTTTCCTTTGGGGGAGTTGTTTTGCATTTAACTCAGCAGGAATGGAGATTAATGGGAGGTTCTTATTAAAAAATCATTTTGAAGTCAGAAAATTAAATTACTTTAAACAATTATTCCATATCTACTATGTTGCAGCCACTGTTCTAGGTGCTGGGGACACATTCCTATCTTCATGCTCCCTGCCTTCTACATGTTCTTAGTTGATACCGGGAGGGTAAGGACGACTGCATAAGCAGTTTGTTTCAAGTCAATCTTTCTTTTTTTTAGGATAGGAAAACAATGCAAAATCAGGAAATTAGTGACATACGGATTAACTTCAGGAAGGGTATGGTAGACACTAATATTTTATTTTGGGAGTTGGCAAGGAGGCTAAACCAGAGGGCTACTGAAATTTAAGAACAAGGAATTTCTGTAGTTGTTTCGCATTCCAGCTCCTGAATTCCCCCTCTCCCTCCACATTGTTCTGTTGTGTCCCAGACCAGAGTTTCCAAAATGTCTGAGTCTCACTCTACAGTGACTCTATGTGCTTCTCTCCTGACCTGAACTGTGGTGGTGAGGGTGAAGTGCCTGAATATATCCTCTGTTGGACAGAAAGGAAAAGGAACCAAGAGACAAGGTTAGACTATATTTTAGAACCTTCTGCAGTGGGCTGATTGAGGTCCAGTCTTAGTGTTGTAGTCGTCGGACCTTCAGACTCTCTCCAGAGAGCTGTTTTTGTCTTTTAGGCAAATTAGAGAGAAAGGCCAAGAGAAAGATTAGAATCACAGAATATTAGCATTGGCGCAAAACTTAGATGTTACTTAGATAAATTGTGGCCCTATATGGACTTTAATTATCTGGCCTTTGGGAAAAGAGATTATTTTATTAGTTACCTAGCTTCCACACGCAGTTGGAGGAAGTGTCTCTTTACTAAGGCTCTTCGGAAGCCCTGTCGCACCCTGGTTGATTCCAACAGCCTGAGCTTTAAGGATCCCCCTTACGTTTCTTCCCCGCTTACCAGTCTCAAAATTGGAAGAGCCTGCTTGCCACAAGCCCAGCCCAACGCAGGCCCATGATAACATCTGTGGAACAAGATGTTAATGCAGACATAGATCAGTGAAGTGAGTAGTGGATGAGCATGTACAAAGGAGGCACCTGCCATTAGTAGAAAGAAGGAGCCCCTTGTTTCCTGTGCCTGTTTACAATGGAGGAGTCACCACAGCCACTGAGTAGGAAATATATTTTGAGTCATTGGGCTTGACAGGGTCTGAATGCCATATTTCTGTCCCCTAAGCTCTATCTCTGACGAAAAAGCCTGATGCATTGATTGAGGAGGCTCCATTCCAGACATTATTTCCAGATACAAATGTCCCTCCAACTGTGACTCACGATACAGAGGCAGCCTGCACTGAAAGTCTGACCTTATTTCCCCTTCCATTAAAAAAAAACTTTTAAGTAAGAAATAGAATAAATATAGAAATGTGCACAAATTGCAAGTGTTCAATGAATTATTATAGTGTGAACCATAACATTACAAGCATCCCCAAGTCTTTCTGTGCCCTCCAATCTCTTCTCTCTCCTTCTCCAAATATAGCCACCATCCTGACTTTGAACATCTTTATTTTGCCTGGTTTTGAACTCTATATAAATGGAAACATACAATATGTGTTCTTTTGTTTCTGGCTTTTGTTTTCTCAACACTTCTGAGATTCATCTGTGTTGTATGCACGGCAGCGGTATGGCAGACTCTGTCATTATTACTCTACCTACATTCTCTCAAGCCTACCATTGTGAATAAGGCAGAACTCCACCTGCCTGAAGGCTTTCTTTGGCAGCCGGAGCCCCACCCCTTGCACCTGAGAGCCAGAAGTCCAGAGAGATTAATGACTGTCTCGAAGATCTCAATAAATGGCTGACAGGAGTTTGTTTATAAACAAGCTCCCTCATTCCTCGGGTGGAATAACTCTGAGGCATGTATTTTATACTGATTCTTAGAGTTCCCCAGGGAAATTAAGATCCACCTACTCAAAATGGTGACTGGCTTGCTAATGTACCCTTTATTGGCTACATTCCCTTCCCTGTCTCATTTCCTCACCCCTCTAGTAATGTTTCCCAGCTTCATCTTCCAAATAAATTAATTGAACTTGAATTCTCATCTCAGGGTCTGTTTCTGGGAACTCGATCTAATAACAAGTAGTTTGATCATTTTCATTGCTCTATGGTATACTGTTATATGAATATACCTTATTTATATGTTATTATGTCAATGGACATTTGGGTTGTTTCCAAATATGGCTATTGATAATGATATTGTTATGAACATTTATTATATCTTTTGGTAAATGTAATGATTATGGAATTTCTGGGTCAGCGTAAATGTAGTATATTCAACTTTAGTAGATGATACCAAAATATTTTTCTAAGTGGTTGTAACAATTTATACTATAAAGAGAATTCCAGTTGCTTATAGTGTAAGAAAATTCCAGTTGCTACATATCTTTGCCAATATTTGTTACTGTTTGTCTTTTTCGTTTTAAGCATTTGGCTAGGTATATAGTAGTATTCATTGTGTTTTAATTCACATCACTCTGAAGATAAAGGATATTGGTCACATTTTCATATGTGTATTTGTCATTTGAATATTATATTTTGTGAAGTGTCCTTGCTATGGACTGAATGCTTGTTCTACCCCAAATTCATATATTGAAGCCTCAATCTCCAATGTAACTGTATTTGGATATAGGGCTTTTATGGAGGTAATTAAAATTAAATTAGATCATAAGTGTGGGGCCCTGATCCGATACAATTGGCCTCCTTGTAAGAAGAGACAAGAGAGCTCTCATGCTCTCTCTCCCCACACACATGCACCAAGGAAAGGCCACGTGAAGACCTTTGTTTCACAACAAAAAGGTGGCAATCTGCAAGCCAGGAGGAGTTTCATCAGAAACTGAATCAGCTGGCGCCTTGGTCATGGACTTTTGCCTCTAGAACTATGAGAAAATGAATTTCTTTTGTTTAAGCTACCCAGTCTGTGGTAGTTTGATATGGCAGCCTTAGCTGACTGATAACAGATTTTAGTACTGAGAAGTGCGGTGCTGCTGGAAAAAATACCTAAAAATGTGGAAGTGGCTTTTGAGGTGCATGTTAGAAAAAGCTGAGATTGCCGTGAAGGGACTGTTGGTAGAAGGATAGATGTTAAAAGTGATTCTGGTGAGAGCTTGGAAATGAAAGAGGAGAACTGGAGAGAAACCCTCCATCTTTTAGAGAATAAATAAATAATCATGAACAGAATATTGGTAGAAATATAGATGTTAAGGGTCATTCTGGTGAAGGCTCAGACAGAAATGAGGAACGAGTTATTGGAAACTGGAAGAAAGGTGATCCTTGTGATAAAGTGGCGGAGAACTTGGCTGACTTGTGTTCTACTGCTTTGTGGAAGATAGAACTTGTTAACAATGAAATTGAATATTTGTCTGAGGCAATTTTTAAGCAAAATGTTGAAGGTGCAGCCTGGATCCTTCTGATTGCTTATAGTCACAGCCATGTGTCACTTAACAACAGGGATGTGTCTTGAGAAATGCATCATTAGGTGATTTCATCATTGTGTGAACATCATAAAGTGTACTTACACAAATCTAGATGGTATAGCCTACTACATACCTAGGCTATATGGTACTAATCTTATGGGACTACCATCATATATGCAGTCTGTTGTTGACTGAAATGTCATTATGCGGGGCATGACTATAAACGCAAGAGTAGAGAGGTGAATTGAAGAAAGAATTGTTGAGCAAAAGGGAACCAAACTTCAAAGATTTAGAAAATTCTCAGCCTGTTCATATTGTGAAAAATGAGAAAGCTTGTTCTAAAGAGAACGCTAAGGGTGTGGATGAACAATTATTTGATAAGGAGATCATGGGTGTGACTCATGGATTTAATCAGCCATCTCAGTAGAAGCCAGAAATAGAGATGGAATTATACAGGCAGAAACACTGCCAGTTTGAGCTAAAGGGGAGAGAGAAAGCGGGATGGAAGGAAGGAAGGTGGTCAGACTTCTTGGATTCTACAAGACAGGATCATAGAGCTATTTGGCTGTGAATGTGGCTGCCATATTATTCAAGGAAAGGGAAGAATGACCCATAAAGCAATTCAGAGATCATCAGGGTTGCCACTCCCACCACAGGCCCAGGGGGCAAGGCTGTTTCCTCCTCTATTTCAGAGACCCTTAGTGACAGGGCTCTCACAGAAAGCCAAGACACCCCATTGAGCCGAAGAGATGGTACCAATCCCACAGAGCCATGGGGATGATGCTGCCACCCCAGTGAGTCTGGAAGGCAGGATATTGAGCCAAAGGGGATTATTCTGGAGCCTTAAGATCTAATGAAATTTGCCACTTTTTTTTTTCAGCTGCTTTGTCAATAAGTTTCTTGTCTTTACCTAAAAGATCTTCATAGAAAATTGTAGTTTGGTTTATCAGCTCTCAGCAGCCCACTCCTGAGTTCTGAGGAAGTTTGCCCTTTGCTGAGCTACTTGATCTTTCTTCTGGGCAAGAGACATTTTGGGATGGTTCCATCTTTTCTTTTTAACTTCTTTCTTTCTTTTTTTTTTTTTTTTTTGTGAGGAAGATCAGCCCTGAGCTAACATCCATGCTAATCCTCCTCTTTTTGCTGAGGAAGAGGGGCTCTGAGCTAACATCTAT